ATGTGTAGTGTATTTTATGTACATTTCTTCACTTCCATTGCATTTGTCTGCTTGTAATATTTTCTCTCACACGAGGCTTTAAGTTCTGCTGTTTTCATGCTTTATCATTTGGATTATTCTGTTACCACCCAAGGTTTAGTTTGTCCCATTTTTGCTTTTCTGTTATTGGTTTATTATGTTTGTTTTTAAAGTATGTTAAGTAACTTATTTCATTTGTAAAAACATGTTGATATTTATTACCATTGTACATATGTCCTTATTTTTTATATGTGTATAGACATACACAAATAAAGATAGAGATCTACTGGAGGTGTGCGAGCTGGTTTGTTGGGTGGGGAGGGTCAATTACAAAAACCTTTATTAAATAGCATCTAATGTACATTTTCTGTTTTCTTACGCTTTTTTTATGAACATGTCCTACATCAGCCATTCCCAGACTTGAGAGTGCTTTGGCCCATTTAAAAACCAGGAAATCCCATGTGGCCCACCCAATCTTTAATCTTCACTCTTATCAACATAAAACAGAGTGAGAGAGTGATTCCACGAACATTTTGATTAAAAAAACATATCACAAGCTGTTGACTATAAATTGCTAATGATACCCAGTCATATGCAAAGTGTGAAGGCCAATGTGTGGCCCACCTGCCACTGGGACACTTACATACATAAACAGTTGCATAAATAAATGCATAACTGTACATACTTGTGAGTAATTTCAATCTGAATTTCTGTTATTACTGCAGCCTACCTATAATACTTTCAACCCACATTTTGGGGATCACTGCACTGGATAATCCTCGTTTCTAAGAGAGACTGACCAGTTTTTCCAACCTGAACAGCATGATCCAGAATAAATAACTGGATCAATAAAGCTCTCAAGGAAGTGTTTAAAGGGGTTGTTTTGCCTGCAGATGCATGACAGGAAGTCTTTTGTGAGTACAGATATCCCCTGCCAGTGACCATTAGAAAAATGCAGGTTTAAGGGTCTTCCATGTTAACTTTACTTGTCAGACCCAGGAGCTATGCTCATACAGTCTATAGTTGGATTTAAAAAGTAACTGTAGTTGGAAGAAGGTGCAACAAACCCCATCAAGAGGAATATTAGACCATGTTTACAATTCAATTTTATTTATATAGCGCCAAATCACAACAACATTAGCCTTGTAAGGTAGACCCTACAATAATACATACAGAGAAATATAACCAACAATCATATGACCCCCTGTGAGGAAGCACTATGGTGACAGTGGGAAGGAAAAACTCCCTTTTATCAGGAAGAAACCTCCAGCAGAACCAGGTTCAGGGAGGGGCGGGGCCATCTGCTGCGACTGGTTGGGGTGAGAGAAGGAAGACAGGATAAAAGACATGCTGTGGAAGAGAGACAGAGATTAATAACAAGTGTGATTCAGCAGAGAGGTCGACTGACACATGTTGAGTGAGAAAGGTGACTGAAAGGAAATGACAAGCTGCAACATACAGCAGAAGTACTGAGTATCACAGTAAGCGTATATAGCAACACATCCTACCAGAAATGTATGGTTTAGTTATTATTTAACTACTGAGTAACTATTGTATTACTACAATCTAAAGTATGACTACAAAACTGAGTGGAAAATCTGAACATTTCAACAAGATGGGGTAATTGTTTATGCACCAGATAAGGAATCGGACTACTTCTTTAATACACCATCCGTACACTGAGTCTGTCATCCCAGCACCATGCTGTGAAATTATATGAATGAAGAAGAAAAAGATGGAGGGCCAAGAACATGTTTGCATAGACAAGTTCCTGTCTTAGGTTTGTTATTTTGGACAAGGAATAACAGTAGACTGTCAGAGACATAAAATAAAAAGGAATGGGGACGAGAAGGTTTAAGGCAGCAAGCAGTTAGTTTATGAGCACTGGCACAGTCACTTACTTTACTTACAAATTTGGATGCGATCCTGTGAGTAGCAAAGTACACCCCAAAATTCAAATGCTTGTAGAACTTTAGCAGCAGAGTTGGCAAAAGTACACATCAGTAATTAAGTAGAAGTACAATAAAATTATATTAGTACATGGGAATACAAACTTTATTTTAGTCTACATTTTATTTCTAATACATGTACTCAACTTGAATCACTTAATAAGAACTTGAGCAGAGAAAAAGAAGAATTTTTAAAAGGAGCTCTATTTTCTGTGGCTACACTGTAGAGAGTCATTTGGCTCCACACCTAAACCAAGAACTGGGTACAGTCAGGGGTTAAAGGGGGATTCAATAGTTAGGGAAACCCTAAAGTCGCTTACAGCGTGGAGAAAAGAGTCACATCTCACAATGATTTTTATTGAGGGTCCTAGAAGATTTTCTTAATGTACAGGTCATGATCAGCTGACCTGTGCAGACACAGTGTGCAACAAACTGCACACAAACAGTTTGTGTGTTTGCTGATATTTGTTGAGTTAAAAAAAAAATTGCATTTGAAATTACCTTCCACGTTACTCCTTTCATGCTTGCTCCTATTCTGTAGGGCCAGCTAGATGCAGAAGTACCATAGCCTTGACATCATCGTCCTGTTGCATGACCTAATTTGGGCTTTAGCTGTTGAACAGATGACCTCACATTAGACTCACATTAGGAGTTCACGGTCAACTCAATGACTGCAAGTTGCACATATCGTGTGGTTGCAAAACAAGCCCAACTCTTTGCCCCTCCACCATCAAGCTTGACAGTTGGTATGAGGTGTTTTATTTTGATATGCACTGTTTGGTTTTCTTCAGATGTGGGGGTATGCACTGTGGCTAATCATCTTGATTTTGGTCTTGTCCCCTCAAAGGACATTGCTTCAGAAATCTAGTGGTTTGTTCAACTTTCAAACCTATGCTGTGCTGCTATGTCATTTCTCTTGCTAAGCATTCCAAACAAGCCATAGTTTAGTCTTTTTGTAATTGCACTGGCGTCCACTCCTGGGAAGATTGTGGCATTGTGTTAATAAACAACTGAAACCTCCAGATCTGCAAACTGCTCAAATATCTGCTTTTGTAGAGATGCTCACACTTGCTGAAGATCAGTTAATCAAATGCATTTGTACCTAGATGCTATTTAACCTCTTAAGCAATAAGAATGTACTTAGTTTTCCACAGAGCTGTGAAAACATTCTTCTTGACATGACATTTATTATACTAAAAAACACAAAATGCATAGATTGTTGCTGAATTTGCATAAAAGATCAATTTAGATTCTTTGACAGCCAAAATTCTGTGTTGTGTCTTTACTGCTCTTATTTGGGTTTTTTGTGTGTATCCTGATTTTTCAGTTGACACTGAATTTTTCAACTAAAACAGCTTTAACTCTTCTAGGAAGGCTTTCCACAATGTTTAGGAGTGTGTTTATGGGAATTTCTGACCATTCTTGCAGAAGCAAATTTGTGAGGTGAGAAACTGGACAAGAAGGCCTGGCTCTACTCTAATTCATTGCATAGTTCTCGCAGTTTTGACCTCAGTCAAGTTTTTAAAGACCTTGCTTTGTACACAGGTGTGATGTTGGAACCGGAAGGAGCCGTTCCCCAAACTGTTCCCACAATCAGGAAAATGAAATTGTCAAAAAATGTCTTGGTATGCTGAAGCATTAAGGGCTCCTTTCACTGCCACTAAGCCCATCTCCTAATAAACAACCGCACATCATAAAACCCCATCCACCAAATTTTACACCAAACCCAGACTCTTTCATCGTAGTGCAAAAGAAAGACATAATTTGTCGCTCCAGAGAACACGTTTCCACTGCCTGAGAGTCCATTGATGTCGTGCTTTACACCACGGCATCCAATGCTTTGCAGTGCACTTGGTGATGTAAGGTTTGGGTGCAGCTGCTTGGTCATGGAAACCCATTTCATGAAGCTTTCCACACACTGTTCTTGAGCTTATCTGAGGGCCACATTTACTTTGGAGGCCAGTAGTGACTGACTCTGCAGAAAGGCGGTGACCTGTGCACAATATGTGCTTTAGCATCCGCTAAAGTGTTTGGAACACCTGAATTCAGTTTGGATGGATGAGTGAATGCTTTTGGAAATATAGTGTGGTTCTTGCCCTATCCTGTGCTGCACAAAAACAACAGTGAAGTTTCTCTCTGACTTGTACAGCCTTTCCTGGTGTCAGCAGAAGAAGGCACATGCTTCATGTGGTCGGCAGTCCCAGCTGTAGAAAGAGGCTCAAAGTTGCATCTGATCTCAGTGTACTCAGCTGCACCACAGACTCTCAAACCTCACAAAAAGAGGAGCCCTGTGTGTTTGAGATTGTTTGTGTGTGGGTAGGGTTTACAGAGCTTTTCAGCAGTAGACCACTGTTCACCCACCTGTTTGGGGTTATACATTTGTTTAGGCTTACCGAGCCTTCTTTTAAACCATTATAAAACACAAAAAATATGTTAATATAAAAAAAATATGCATTAAATATTGCTTTTCCCACTGTGGCATTCATTTTGGGCTTTTGTTTTAATTTTTTGGTGGAGTGTAAATGTAAATGAAAGCTTTGTGGTCAATTTACTACAATTTTACAATTTAACTGTGAAAAGATGAGCAGCCTGTGTACCGTGCTCAAAGCCCACATCTTTATCATGTGTGTGACAATAAATAAGCAATTTTCAAGAAGAATATGCTAAAAGCACAGGAGCCTGTCTACTTACAGAGTGGATATTTAAATTTGAGAGAGATCCAGTTAAGTTCCAGCAGCTGGGCTTCAGAGCACCCAACAGCAGATGTGGCCTTGCAGAGTTGAGGGAGTACAGCAAGAACGCTGTTAAAAAAATAAATAAAATGAAAATGAATAATAAAAAAACAAGTTCTTTTTTCCTAGGCAACAAACAAGTGTTTGCTTCGTAAAATAAACGTTTTAATAACAACCCTATTTTCTCTGTTGACGTTAGACAGTCACGTGGTATCTCTCTTTCATTTCAATTGGCCAATTCATATTAAACGAGTTCCGGCCGCTTTCAAAGTGCTTGAAAATACGGAAGTTAGTTAGGCCTCTACACTTTGTCAGTTGCTACCAATATTTTTTCTATATTTTTTTTAACTGAGTCATTTTTATTCATATTTTAAATTTCCCACCAATATACTTAAAAATAAAATATATAACTGCAGTCACGAACGTTGCTGACAATTTCGCGGAGGGATCTATACGCGGTCTCTGGCTCTGGTGTGGAGGGGGATTTGAATCGCCTTCTGCTCTTTTTTTTGAAAGTCTTTTTATATTGTTATAAACGTCCGTTAAGACAGTTGTGTTCTTTTTATAACATAAAAGACCCGAGTGTTCTTTTATATATTTTTTAACGAGAGACAACCAAAGTATCTAAATCCACAAGGTAAGATTTTAAACTTGTTGTCACTGTAGTGACACCGCCGCTGCTACTACTGTTAGCCAGCGACGAGTAAAGTCTTCACAAACTAGCGTTATTCGTGTGGGTTTAATATTTTGTTGCCCGTTGCTAGTGCTAACCCAGGGAGATAGGAATGTAAGCGCAGCTACCCGCCGCTCCTGACCGTTTCTAGTTCTTTACTCATTACACGCTGTTACTGTGGAGCGTGTGCAAATGCTCCTGAGTAAATCTTCATGTGTTTGTCTGTGTTAGCATGCCCCTGGAGGGATTTCTTTTTGTAACGGGTGAAATCCTGTTCTCAGCACTCGTCTAAAAGCACGCGTTCCATCAGAAATCATTTGTTATGGAAATGCATGCGACTTAGTCGGGTGCTTTTGTTATCCATGTTTCCTCTAGGACCTTCTACCTGTCCTTGTGGGTTCTCTTGCACTTCATTTATAAGTCGTGCTTATGTTCTCATTGCAGATGGCTACAGCAGAGATCAGCACTGTCTCCTGTGAGGGTGATCAGGAGGGAGCTGTGTCGCCTCCCTCAGTAGAGGACACCCCCTCAGTTTTAAATCAAACCTCAGCCCCCCTGAATTTTTCTGAGCTCACCCCAAGTCAGTTTGGCATCTCTGTGCAGAGTTTTACCCCAGCAGTATCATCAAATCGCAAAGGTGAGAGAGGACGGTTCGTTATTTGGCTGCAGCTGCTGTTGCTTTTAAACTGGTGGAGAGCAAGTAAAGGTGTCCAGAGCAGGTTATATGGACTTGATTGAGTGTTAGTCTAGCACCAAGCCTCTCTCTCTCTCCTGACAGATAAGTCTCGTCTAGCACAGCTGAAAGCCAGGCGGAGGTCCAGTGTTGGCGTCCGGGGCTCCCCAGAGACAAATTCTCTAATCTGCTTCATGGCACAACAGAAGAGGAAGACTCCACCGGCATCCCAAACTCCAGAGGTGAGATGCTTCTCGGGTTGCAAATCTGGCATCTGTCATATCCTATTAGAGTGCCAGACAGTTGTTCAGACTGCTCTGGCTTTCAGTTGGCTGGGATCAGTATGGAAACTGACATAGATTACTGGTACAGTGCACAACTGTACAACATGCTTTGTCTGTCGTCCTTTATGAGACTCACATGAAAATTGTCACAGCCGCTGCTGCATACATACTGACGTACCTATAAAAGCTGGAATAGCAGCACAGTTGTGTTATTTTGCCTCTGTACATAATCACATTTTCAGATTTCAGTGTTGGTGAGCCTGTCCCAGCTGTCACAGGGTAAGAGCCAGGGTACACCCTGCACACTGTGGACTAACTCACGGATAACCATTCAGGGCTCGCAAAATTTCAAAATCCCTGGTAGCCCTACGGGCAGGGACTCTTCAGTTTTTGGTAGCCCAAAATAAATTTAAGTAGCCCGAATAAAAAAGAGAGCAATTTTTTGATTGATGTTTTGTTTCCTGTTTTGTTTCCGTTACAATATTATACATTAAAGTATAATATTGTAACAGAAAACAAAACATTACTCAAAAAATTGTTGAAACACAAATTACAACATTGTATAAAAATTACAGTCATCAACTCAAATACTTGGTTCTAATTGAACAGACATTTCTATGAACTTGTAAGAACTGTGTAGGACATGAATCCGTCTGTGTCAGATCCTGAATTTGAAATTTCCACTGAAGTCACGGGTAAGAGGCAAGTGGAACCAAGATCGAGGCCATTTGCTTTTTGAAGTTTGCAAAGACTGCCAAATTGTGCCAGTGGTAGTTCACTCTTTGCAACATAGTAGCTGTTCTAAATTTTTCAGGTTTATTTTTAGTATGTTTTTTGCAATTGGTGTTTGTTCTGGGAAAGATATTGCAGACTGAGCAATAATGCATTTCTTGCATTTCTCATGGGTTCTAATGGGGGCCTTTCTTAAAATTACTGGTCCCAGTAACAAAGGCGCTTGTCGACTCAGAAATCGAGGGAAAACCAACAACACACCCGGCAGAACATTAAGTTATTTACACGGGTGCACAAAAGTGGTCCACATGTGCGCATTCGCTGTCAAAATAAAAGACGCGCACCAGATAAGAAGTTGCAACGCGCGTTTGCGTCCATATAAAAGGCACTGTTGTTGTCCGCTAGAGTGGGATTTTCACGGCACATTCTGCACATCTCTGTGTGTTCATCATTTGTTTGAAGCCAGCTCACCTCCTGCAACCACTTTCCCGAGAATACGCGCTTCTTTTGTGGTTCGGACTCCTGACATTTCTTTGGAGGTGGAGGAACATCACAGTAATTGCTTAAAG